GATGGAAGAATCTAGAGATTGAAACCAGTAGTGATGGTTTATTTGGGATCATTGAAAATAGGTAGTTAATTCTGGGTAAGACCATAATTTTAATTGAGGCAACCCTACCTATAAGGGAGATCAGAAGCGATTTCCATCTTTCTAGGTCCTCTTCTATCTTTTTAAAAGAGGAATAGGGTTGATTTTTTTTGTTTTGAGTTTTTTAGATTACATTTGCAATATGGCATCAACAAAAATAAATTCTTTGAATATGAGCAAATTAAATCTATTATTAGAAAAAAATTATATATATATATATATATATATATATATATTTCTTCCCAATTTTTCGACTGGGTGTGAAATATTTAGCAGGATGCTGTCCCCGCCTACTGATGTCTTAATGAGTTGCTGCCACATTGGTTCCAAGTTAAGTTACGCAATTTACAGGAGTTTCTCATAAATACCCCACTGAGTACAAGTTATTTGTGAAGTCAGCAGAGTCTAGCTTTATTTTTAAATAAATAGAAATGGGAATGATGGGAATTTTTTTACTTAATGCAGAGATGCTTAAAAAATCTGTTTCTGTCTTCATGATGCAAAAGCCTCACAAATGACAAAAAATGTGTCAAGTCATTTTGGCCAAAAACATTTTTACTTTTCAACATACACTATATTGCCAAAAGTATTTGCTCACCTGCCTTGACTCACATATGAGCTTAAGTGACATCCCGTTCCTAATCCATAGGGTTCAATATGACGTCGGTCCACCCTTTGCAGCTAGAACAGCTTCAACTCTTCTGGGAAGGCTGTCCACAAGGTTTAGGAGTGTGTTTATGGGAATTTTTGACCATTCTTCCAGAAGCGCATTTGTGAGGTCGCACACTGATGTTGGACGAGAAGGCCTGGCTCTCAGTCTCCGCTCTAATTCATCCCAAAGGTGTTCTATCGGGTTGAGGTCAGGACTCTGTGCAGGCCAGTCAAGTTCATCCACACCAGACTCTGTCATCCATGTCTTTATGGACCTTGCTTTGTGCACTGGTGCACAGTCATGTTGGAAGAGGAAGGGGCCAGCTCCAAACTGTTCCCACAAAGTTGGGAGCATGGAATTGTCCAAAATGTCTTGGTATGCTGAAGCATTCAGAGTTCCTTTCACTGGAACTAAGGGGCCAAGCCCAGCTCCTGAAAAACAACCCCACACCATAATCCCCCCTCCACCAAACTTTACACTTGGCACAATGCAGTCAGACAAGTACCGTTCTCCTGGCAACCGCCAAACCCAGACCCGTCCATCAGATTGCCAGATGGAGAAGCGCGATTCGTCACTCCAGAGAACGCGTCTCCACTGCTCTAGAGTCCAGTGGCGGCGTGCTTTACACCACCGCATCCGACGCTTTGCATTGCACTTGGTGATGTATGGCTTGGATGCAGCTGCTCGACCATGGAAACCCATTCCATGAAGCTCTCTGCGCACTGTTCTTGAGCTAATCTGAAGGCCACATGAAGTTTGGAGGTCTGTAGTGATTGACTCTGCAGAAAGTTGGCGACCTCTTCGCACTATGCGCTTCAGCATCCGCTGACCCCGCTCCGTCAGTTTACGTGGCCTACCACTTCGTGGCTGAGTTGCTGTCGTTCCCAAACACTTCCATTTTCTTATAATACAGCTGACAGTTGACTGTGGAATATTTAGGAGCGAGGAAATTTCACGACTGGATTTGTTGCACAGGTGGCATCCTATCACAGTTCCACGCTGGAATTCACTGAGCTCCTGAGAGCGACCCATTCTTTCACAAATGTTTGTAAAAACAGTCTGCATGCCTAGGTGCTTGAATTTATACACCTGTGGCCATGGAAGTGATTGGAACACCTGATTCCAATAATTTGGATGGGTGAGCAAATACTTTTGGCAATATAGTGTATATCAGACATGATAATTGACTTTAAGGTTCAGTATGCACAGACTAAATGATATAACCCTACACATCTTTGATGCTGTACTTCTTTATTTCAATTCGTGCAAACTCCACAGCTATGCTTTATGCCACGTTTCTCGCCTCAGCGGAGGAAATGGGCCGTGTCATGTCGGTGGGAGCTGCAGCGCAACATTCATGATGGAGAACAGTTAAATAACTCATGAAAAACCCATTTCAAATCCACAATGGACCACTGGGAAGATCGTTCAGTGTTATGCCTGTGTGTCTGTTAATGTGGGGTGGCCCCTTTGTCATGACTGTTTAATCAAGCATCTTCGTCGTTGTGCAAGACTGCCCCTATGTGTGTAGGTTGGTCTGCATGTGTTTGTGTGCGTGTGTGCGAGTACATGTGTGGGAACTGCTGGAAAGGGAGCTGAGATGAGTTTCTGTAAATGACAGGGGGGCCCTCATGGCTAAACAGAAATAGCCTTAGAGAAAAGAGAAGATGAGGCCTGAACATAAGAGTGGTGCACACAAGAGTTGGAGCAGCAAAGTGAAAACTAAATGGGGGAGAAAAGGAATTAAAACTTCACACAAAAGAGAGAGAGAATGAGAAAGAATATGACCCATCCAGTATCTCTGATAGGAGCAGAATATCTGCTCCTGTGGATATGAAAATCCACTAGATTTAGAAGTTCCTTCATGCAAAAATGTATTAGATACAAAGAACCTCGTGTTTAAACTTGAAAAAAGCAATATGGTTCACTCATGTTAAGCTTAGATGAATATTACATCAAATAAGGCTTTCTGTTAAACACCAAAAATCTGTTATTCTGATCTTTAACTGATCAAAACCAGAGCTTGATGGAGTCTGACAGGGCATTGTATGGACAAGCGATATTTTACTATTTGCATGTTTGCATTGGTAACAATTTAGAGCAGTTGCTTTTTTAACAATGTAGTCAAAGGGTAGTTAGAATAACCAGAGCCCCAGATATTTGCAAAGCAAAATACAGGCAAATCCCTACCATATCATCCTGAGTCACAGAGCAGGAAGTGAATGAGATTCATGATGTGTGTAAAATTTGACTTAGCATAGGCTTTTTTTTTTGAGGAAGTACCAGGTAGTTTTGAAATATATAGCATTGGTTAAGTCCGGTTAACCGGCCATTAAAAGCTAACATGACAGCACAAGTCTAGATACAACCTCAAAAGAGACATTGTTTTGAAGTGCATCAGGTTTTCAGGCCTAAATTCTTTTTGAAGACTGATACAGTTTTGTGTTGCCACACAATAGTCAAGAAACGCCTAAATTAGGGGAATTATATTCTTTTTTTCTGTCTAAATATAACCCGTCATAGTGGCTAGAACTAAAATTCAGCATAACCGAATAGAGAAATGTTTCAAAATTATTACAAAAAAATATAGACAGATTCTACCTAGACAGCATTAAACACCATGGTGTAAAGCAAATGAAAATGCCTCTGTTGTAGGTTCTTTGTCTTAAGAATAACAATGATACACAGTAAAGGGAAAAACCTACCAGCTTTTACAAATCTGACACAAACATGAAAATCAGCTACCATGTAATTAAAAATAATCTAATTTACTATCAATCCGCTACTATGTACTTGGTACTAATAAACTACAAAAAAATAAACAGGCAGAAAGTAAATGAAACATTCATTCTCAGCCACACAATACATATCAAAGTTATATCAGTATACCAGGAAATGAGCACTCAAAACTGCAATACTTAAAGGGGAACGCCGTTTTGTTTTTACATTGGGCCCTTGATTTTACGTTATTACATCATGTTCTACTCACCCATAGGAGTTTTGTGTCATTTGGAGCCGTTCTGAAGATATTCGGTTAGGTTATATCCAAGTATATCTTCAACGGAATATCTTCAGAACAGCTCCAAATGACACAAAACTCCTTTGGGTGGCGTTCCCCTTTAATAATGAGAACATCTTAAGAACATACTTAGGAACATCCAACCTCACTAACACAAGACAATAGGGTCACATGAGGTAGATGTGTGCTCTGCTTTAGGTCCGAATCATGCAGTTTCAACTCTTATCGACCTGTCTGGGTCTACATGGATAAACGGCTCCAGGCACTTCTCTCTTACCTTGAATTATGGTAAAATCTCTACAAGGCCTGAGGTCAGTACAGAATGGAGGGTGAGGGTGGATGTTGGGAAAATCCCAACTTTGGATCAAATAAACTAAACATGCTAAGTCAACAAGGAACACACCTTAAAACAACTGAGAGGATAAAAAGAGAACATTCAGCATCAACAGAGAGGAGAACATGGCTGTTATAGTTTTTTTTAAAGAAGTGCCTAAAATATACCAAACATACCATTAAGACAAAAAAGAAAATTTAATACAGATGGATTTAAGAACTTACTGGATGTAAGCAGATGTTGCCATGTGTAGCAGTAGATCAAATTGAAGTTGACCAACTAACCTGATCCAGACTTTAAAAGAAAGTCACTGGCTAATTTACAAAAATTAAGATTAGCCTACAGTACCTTTATTTTAAGAATGCTTTAGCCTAAACAATTACATGCATATTATGGCTGATTTCTGGCCTGTTAGTCATTTGATATCAGTTTATTACATCATAAAAAAATCCATAAAATTTAAAGTCGTTCCAATATACTACAACTGACGTTATATTTCAAATTATTTTAATTTTTCTTAGCCAGCAAAGTATTATTTTTTTTTTTTGTCCAATCCAAAAGGTAGTTTCCTACTCCCTCTTAGCGATTAAGAAACACATTTCAACCATAACCCCTCCTTATGTCTTCATTATCAGTGTGGATAAAACTTTGCCTGCATCAAAATGTTCAGTCCATATGGACTCTCAGCCAGTTATTTAATTAAAAATTCACATCCATAGTGTGTGCATCGTGACTATATGGCAAATACAGTTCTGATGTGTTTCACATCAACCCCAAATAGCCAGCCAATAATACCTTGAGCTTTTTCTTTTGTTTGGTGTATCAGTAATTCTTTTGGAAAAGCTCCCAAGATCAAAACAGAAAAGCAAAGATAAGGTTGGTGAAGCAAAGCAGCCGTTTGGGGCTAAAACACTTACTGCAAAGTTGTCCCTCTCCTCTCCTCGGCTCTGAGGTCACAGGGCATGAAGGAGGGTGGTCCCCTGCAGGTTGTGAAGACCCTGAGTCCGCTTCTTTAGTGGCTCTAGTGCTATCCATCAAAGTACTGGCCTGAAATAAAAAGAAACAAAAATGATCAAAAGGGTCATTCCATACCGAGGGGCTTTTTTCCCTTCATCTTTAAATCAACTGTAAACTTATTGCTTGTATAAGATATAAATGATCATATCTAAATACCAAAGAAAAATCATTTAATCCAAGACAACACATTGCTTATGATCAGTTTATTTAGGTCATTGTAATAAAGTAAACATGCTTTGTAGGATATTATGTTAGCTACATTAAACATTTAAATGGTAGTAAAGTTGATTAGTAGTCTTATATTCTGCTACTTTAAGAGACTACACATCCCATAATCAATGTTTTTTTTGTTTTGTTTTTTTGCTAATAAACTGTAAACTAATAAAGTTGAAATTCAGCTTTTTGAATCCAAAGCTTTCTGTTCGATGCCCTTCTCGGTTTTAAATGGTGTCTATTTCTGCCAATGGTCAACCAATAATACAGAGACACTGATGAGCAGCTGTACTAATTTTACTATCAATCACTTTATTAGACAAAAAATCTATTTTGTTTTTTGGTATCGTATGTATGTAATGTATCGTATCATCAACCAAAGATTCAAGTCAGACAGGGGAGTGGCAGCCTAGTGGTTAGGCCATTGCGCTTTGAGTCCAGAGGTTTTGAGTATAAGCCCCACTCCCACAGACTGCCACGCTGGGTCGCTGAGCAAAGACCAGAGCGACGCACAATGGCAGCCCACTGGCCCCCAAGGGGATGGGATAAATAAAGAGATTTCATTTTGTTTCTCTGTAGTTTTGACAGTGTAATGACAACAAAACGCTGAAAAAAAAGGAAAGAAAACAAAAGACAGTAAGAATAAGTAAAACCAAATATGTGTTTTAATGTTTTTTTTTTCTTAAGAGAAAAAAACTGTCCAAACCAACCCGTCCCTAGGTTCACAACTCATCTTTGATAGCAACACCTAGTGACAACTGGAAAGCCTTTTTTTTCTCTAAGAAGGTATCTTGATCTACTTTGTTTTGCACATTTGCTTTAATTCAGCCACACTGACCTTCTCAGGTACCATGCCATCTCAGTCCGATTTAAGCAAATTCTTTAAAAAGTTTCTTTAAATGTTGAATTATGTTTAGTTTGGTCATTAAGGGGGTTACATGGGCACTCTCCTCTGAGACTCTTTGGCAGACAACTGAGTTTATAATTTGATTAAAGTTATAATGAGTAGACTGTTAAACCCAAGACTATTACACTTCTACCGCCATGTTTCACTGTGAGTACAGGATTCTTTCTCTGAAATGCTGTTGGTTTCATGACGGATACAAAAAGCATACATTCCATAAAGTTTAGCTTTTGTTAATCAAGTCAGCAGAATATTTCCTGTAACCAGCATTGATTTGTAAGATGCCATAAATTATACATTTATGTCCAAAAATGAAGGCAGTAAAGTTTTTGTTTAGCAGTAGTCTTTCCACTCGTTTTCTCCAAAAATTTGTAAATTTTCTTGTTGACCTTCAAATCTAACTCGGGAAATTGAGGCCTGCAGCGCTTTAGATGTTCTGGCTTCATCTGTGACCTCCTGAATGAACACTAATATGTTATTGAGGTAATTTCGATGAGTTTTTCTTAGGATAGTTTAATGTCTTCTGTTTTATGTCAATACTTTTTTCCTAATGTGAACTCAAATTCCTTTAGATAAGGACATTTCTAAACTGTATACTGTAGTTGTCAAGTAAACAGGTCTTGCTTTTGCTAAAACACAACCAATAAATCGTTGCTATTAGATTCCTTTTATCTGGGCTATTTAAGTGAAATCCATCCATCTTCTCCTGTGGGTCGTGGTGGAGATGACGCCTATCTCTTATGAGCACACTTAAACCTCAGGATAATTTGGAGATGCAAATCAACCTAACATTTTGAAGGAACATATAATTAAATAAATCTCAGATTATATTTTAAAATTAGTTTGGGTCGATTTATTTCATTAGCTAAAATCATTATTTGAACATTTAATTGTTACAAAAACAATCTGTAATGTGGCAAAAAAGTTTTTGCAACATTGTGTATAAACATTTGGGATGTGACTCAAACAAATTAATGCAAGCCATTAGCAATGCAAGAAAAATGGGTTTAAAATGGGTTTAAATTGCACTGAATAAACTATTTGAGTTTCTGTAAATTTCAAGCATTATTGGGGCTGAAATATTAAGGCTATTAAAAAAAAAGAAGAAAAGAAAAAAAACACAACTCTCTCCCCGTAAATAGAGTCTGCTGTTGCAAATATAGCCATTAATTGCAAATGTATTTTGTCAGCTGTGTTCCCATTTTTAGCTACTGTCACAACAGTCTGATTTCTGCTATAAAAAGACAACAACTGAAGGGGGATGCAGCTCTGGGTGAAAAAGTGCCCCTTCCCTGAAGTAACAAGGCTGCAAAACAGTCAGTCAGACAGACAGAATCAAAGATGGAGAGAGACACATAGAGAAGGCTGAGGCAGTTGTTTTGGATGTGCTCCACTCCACTTCGCTCCACTGCTGAAAGAGTAAAGCGGTATGAGACATTACGATGGAGTCAAGCTGACCATGAAAAGCAGAGGGGGATGTAGAGGGTGGCTGTCAGGATGAAAAGAGTAAGGTAGATTAAAAAAAAAAAGTCTGTGATGGCCTACTGACTAGCAGTAGAGAGACAGGCAGTGGAGGTGCATCATATCTTAAGACAAAAAAAAGGAACCTTAGGCTTATGAAATATACATAGCTCTCAGCAAGAGTCAGAGACACAAACAGAGGAAGGCCTTATAGACTGACAAGACTCCCCTTCATCTCCTAAAAACACTCTGCTAAAAATAAAACACACACATTTTTTATTTTATTTTTTTGGAGAATGGAATTTTTTTTTATGTACCTACCGTATATTCATATGAATCCAGGTGTTGTACATGAATGCCTCATCCTACAGTTACAGAGTGGCAAACCCCACAAACAACTACAGTATGACATAAAAAGCCACAAGTGATTCGGCTGTTGGCCTGTATGTAAATTCACCAACTGGCCATGGGAAATTTACTTCAACTGCCTCTTTCAGACCTGCCCTCAATTCAAGCCCAGACAGCTGCCTTACAGCAGGACCAGCAGTTAAAAACCATTTAAAGAGACCCCACTTAACTGTAAACTCACCCTTTGTTCAAGGTAACAATTCACTTCTCCTACGCACTGTCTGTAATTGCTGAGCCACAGGATTATTCTGATTTTTGAGCAACTACCAGGAAGGCAGTGATGGGACATATTCCCTTTCACCCTTTATTGAATTTCATTGTTTACCTTCCTCACCTGACAAGCTAGGTGTGCCTCTTCAATGTACACCCTTATGTGTGAACAAAAATAAAAAATAAAAGACTCCAATGTAAAACGGTCACGTCTGACCCAAGGGATTATTTACCTATGCTGCATAACAACTGGCCTATACACCAGCAAGCAAGTTTCCCAACCTTTTTTCAGCTCTTTTAGTCACTTATTTTTCCATTTCTTTTCTGTTTCTTTCCTTTTTTGCAGTGAAAACGCCATACGAATGGCAATAAACTGGAGACAAAAGAGTAGCAAGAAAACTGAGCCCAGAAAATGCATCCATAATTCATCAAAACAGATGGTGGAGATTAACACGTTTGAAACTTGAAATCATATAATGCACCAAATGACTGCTAAAAATCCTTACGATTTTACAAGTGGTATAACATGTAATGTTTTGCATGGAGTCGTTAAGGGAATGAAGCAATCCCCTTTTATCTGCAAAAGAAAGTGAGAATCACAACAGATGCATTACCATCAACACGGTAGTTCTTTGAGCTAACTGTTTATAGAAGCATGTTAATTTGCTACTTAGCAGGTGATTCTGCAAACAGGCATCTATTTAAAGTACACAGAGAATCTCAGTTTTTACTAATGTGAACACATTCATAAAAGGAATGCATTTAAGACTCTGTGAATGTCTCTAAATGGTATAGGATTCTAAGGAAGCAAAACAGGAGCTTTACTTTAGTCTCCTGTCCACATGTGGTCAGTCTATTACTTGCAAGCATATATGTGTAATGGTAACAACCAGAATTAAACCTGTAAAGATGTTTTTAGTCTTGTATGCCAGAGAATACACACAAAGGGAGCTCTTTGATTTATCAGCTCAACTGGCTAGCAGCAAGTTAGAAAAGATCACTGGACTGAGGATAGTTTTAAAGAGTTTAATAAGGATTGTCTATTGCCTGCTGCTAATCTGAACCAAAATATAAGATAAAGTCCCACCTTGAATTAATTTATCTTACAGTGTAAAAAAAAAAAAAACATTCTTAGTGCTATCCATTTTAGTAAAATTGATGCATGCACGGACAATGGTTTATGAATCACTGGCATTTCAATAAATCACAAATAAAAAATACAATTTAGAGGTTAAATTTAGTAACTGTGCATTAAAAAGATGAATTCTGGCGTACTTAGCAGTCCATGCTCCGGCCCCCTCAGCAAATGTAAAGATTTTCATTAAATTTCAAAAATAAAACAATAATAATAACTACAACTTTTTCAAGTTAAAACTAGTGCTATTGTTTTTAACAGTTCTATATATTCTAAATGTATAAGACAATTAATAATCTCTGTCCATTGCTTAGATAATTAATGTAAATATGTGATAAATTTCAATAGTATTAGGCAGGCAGTAACCACAAGTATTACAGACTACCATCCCCTAGCCCAGTAATGGAATTATAGTACATTTTTTGTAGTAGTATTCCTACAGACTACTGAAGAAAACTGACATTGATGCAGCTAAAAAATAAATGCTGCCAAACATTTTGTTAATTCCTGTAAAATGGTGATAAATTCACTTTCCAATGCAGCAAATGCATGAAGAACAGCTAAAAGTGGTATTTTATCATGTGTATAGTGAAAATACCACAAAACTAAAGCCACATTACTACATTATAAACCTTATTAAACCTTTTATTGCACATTCCTACTGATAAATGCCCTCTGAATAGACCAGAAATAGACCAG